GAAAGGCTGGAAAGTCAGTAATGAGAAATACTAAGAAGCGACTCCTAGCTCATTGAAGAGTTCCACTAATAGAGAATTACTACTAAATCTTGTTAGTAACCCAATTTCCTGGGATGTCCAAGAGAGGCCTTTAGGGAGGAAAAGTAAAGCGAAACGGTTTCCAGGGAAGGCTACCTGATTTTGAATGTCTCTAATCATTAGCCAATTGTTTTGGGAAATACTAAAGAAAAAAGGACAATGTTCTGTGCATCAGTTTCTTCATCTAGGATAGGTAGAACGTTCTCACAAGCCACACAGTTTTGTGAGAATTAAATTGGATTAGCTCAGTGCTTAGTACAGAGTAAGTGGTCAAGAAATGTTACTATTATTAACATTGAGTACCACTGAGTAACACTTATTTAGTACCAAATTTGAGTGCTAGAATTGTTAGGAATTTTTACAAAGTTTATTCAATCTAATCCTCAAAGCCGCTTTTATTATTTCCCAAGTTATAGATGAGAAAGTTAATGCTTTTGGAGGTTAAATGATTTGTCCATGGCTACCTGGCTAAAAAAAATGACAGAGCCAAACTTTAACTTCTGTGACATGTAAAGTATAGCCTTCGAATGTTTTTGCCTATATACTCCTGGGTACAAATGAAAAAAACCCAAACATTTACTTCCAAAGTTATCATTGTAAGTTTAATAGTCACAAAGAATAAAATTCCTAATATGTTATAAATATTTGTAGTTCAAAATAATAGTTATATTACTCTTCTAGATGTATCCATGGGATTTAAATTCCACAAGGACTGGCTACTTATCATCATCCACTTAAAAAACTACCTGCAAAAACTCTTCTTTAATAGTCAGAAATGTATTATCATCCCTTTACTCCTATGAAATTGTTTCTCCACCTCTGTGCCCCTCAACCAGGATTTTATCCCCCTGGTTTTTATGCTTCAAAATATTTTGTCGATTGCCCTATAATACTTCTCCACAATAAAAAATACACATGTAAATTTAACTTAAAAATTTTCCTGTTGCCATAAGGTCTTGTGTTAAAAAGTTTTTTCTCTGAATTATCATTATAATTACCAGGATTGTGTAATTTATTAAAACATAAGAATATTACTATTTAATAAATAGCTATTAAATGTATATGTAAGTTACTACAAATGAATCCTTATGAGATAGATGGGGTCACAATCATTTATGAAAATCTAATTCAAGAAGCTGAGTACCTTGGCTTGGCTTTTGGGATATCTTCCCCCTTGGGGCAATATATTTTCAAGAGATGTGGGATGTGTCAGAGAAATTCTTTCTTTTGGAAAGTGGAAGAAAGGCAATTATAAAAGGTAACTCTCAAGCAAATAAATTTTTGGAAGGAGGCAATATGACCTTGGAGGTTGTAGATCTTGAAATTAGTGCCTTAAAACTCTCCATGCCTGTTTGCCCTTGGAAAGTCCTTGAGTACCAAGTGGACCACACACTCCAGTTTATGTCTATTGGCCTAGTGTCCCATCACTCTCTAAGCACCTCAATTTGGATGATATTATTGGTCACTCAATCAAGTACCCCTTCTGGCTCAGGATTTATGAGGCTCTTCTTTTCAAAAACAGATCAGTCTTACTGAACTTTCTCCTTTTCCCCACAGGTCTCTGCTCCCAAACTTATTTTCTGCTCATACTTCCCATCTCAGCTTAGACCTCTAGGCACCTTGCCTGGGCTTTGCCCACTACTCTCTGCTCCACTAACTTTGGTGCCCTGCCAGCAGTGGTGTGCCGGACCCAGCTGAGGTTGTTTCTCCAAGTAGATTGCTCACACCACTTCCCAGCAACAGCGTTGTGTGACAGCATGTGGCACACTTTTTGTAATGTGTGTGACACCACGTGGTCATCCCCAAATTGGCCATGGTGGGAATATTTACAGCACAGAAACAGGTAAATGTATAAATAAATACTTTATTTTCTTTTAAAGATTTATTTATTTATACATACAAGAGCTGGGTTACAGGACAGAGATGTGGAGGGTGAAAGGATTCACTAGAGACAGAGTGGGGAACAGAACAGGCAGACTGACTGAAATACACTGCTGAGGGGAGCAGCGGGCGAGACAGGAGAGGTCTGCCGCACCATGTGGGTTGCTCTCTGGCCGGCCAGGGATCAAACTCGTGCTGCAGAGGTTGCGGATTGCTTCATAGTGCGGTGCTTAACCCCTTGTGCCACCAGGGAGGCCCTTAATGCTTTATTTTTTAACACTGGTTGGTGAATATCTATCAGCACAACATTAACCCCCTCCTATATTTTCATAATACTCTTAACACTACTTATTTCTTCATTCATTCAGTGAATGTTTACCCACTGCCTACTATGTATCAGATGCCATACTAGTTATTGAGGATAAAAAAGATGGGAAAATAAAAATGTCTCTGTCATCATAGAGTTCACAGTTTTGAGAAAGGTAGACTCACTTTAGACAAATGTTTACATAAATAAAAAGTAATAATCATATTTGTATGTAATAAAGTATATGTAATTATATTTATATTTAATATATGAAATATATAATTAAGAATAAAAAATGCTTTACAAATTTATAACATGGTATTAGACCTCATCTGGAGAGGTTTTCCTGAGCTAAAATCTGAAGGACAAATTTGGGTTGAGGAAGGAACAAGGTGCAGGAACAGGATTCCTGCAAAATGCACTGTGACCAGAGAGAACAATGGAAAGAAGAAAGGATAACTAAAGGTGAACCTGGAAGTTCAGTGGCAGATGCAGCTGAAGAGTTTTGGAGATTTGGAAGCCCTTTAAGGGGTTTTGAATTTATCCTAAGAGTAGTAGAAAGTTGTTGAAGTGTTTTCAGCTAGAAGAGCACATGGTGTAGTGAAAGATCAGCACAGCATGGTGGTTAGATTGCCAAGCCTGAAATGCTGACTCTGCCATTTTACAGCATCTTACTGGTAACTTCTCTGTGCCTCAGTTTCTTCAAGCGTTGAGTGGTGATAAAATAATACTCCATAAGGCTGTTTATGAGACTGTAAACTGCTCAGAATAAGCATTTCAAAAATGCCATGGAAATGCTTATTCTATTAAATAAATAAAAACATCTTTATTAAGTTAACTGAATATAGCAAGTGACCTGTGTTCCAGTAGGCATATAGAGATAACCAAATTACAGATAACATGAAGTACACAGAAAAGACAGTGTTATACAAAGAGGAGAATGAGCTTTGTTGCCAGTGGTACATATAAATAGAATCAAAGGCAGAGAGGATGTTACGGTTGGACAGAGCAGCAATAAGAGCTGTGTAGATAACACAAGTGCCACTGTACTCAAGAGGCTTAAAGATAGGAAGCAGACATGAATGAAAACCAATGGGGTGGGGGGGAATACAGTAAAGATTCAAGTAAGGAATGATTAATTTCAAATGAAAAACAAATGTGGGGTTTTATGGAGGAGGGTCCAGCATCCTGGTTGTGCGCCTGGGCTCAGGAATGAGTCCAGTTCAGTTTAGAACACTTTGTACCTTGTTAAATTATATGACTTGACTTCTCTATTCCTTAAAGTTCTCTCTGTAAAATGGGATAATAATAGTAATAATAACTAGCTCATAGTTGATGGTTTAGAAAGATGTAAGGTCTTAGCATAAAGCACTCAATAAATCTTATTAACATCACATTGTGAGTTGAACCTTGAGTGAGAAGTGCTTTGATCAGCTCTAAAGGGGTAAGAAAAGAAATGGCTCAGAAGTGGAGAAGTATCTACACATTTAAAGAACAGCAAGTCAGTGCCATTTAAAGTATGGTCATCGATGCCAATCTGTGAATTGTTTTTACTGTTCCACTAGAAGATATGATATTGACAGCAAACATTTAGAAATTAAATTACTGTAATTTTATACTTGTTATCTGGTAATAAAAACTGAAGCTTATAGCTTTTATGTCCTTATTTGTTTTTTCTAGCAAGTTGTTAGCTGCATTTTACAAAAATAGTCCATGACTGACAGCAAATAATAAATAAAAACTTGTCCTTTACCTCAGAGAGTTTGAGAAAAAAAAAATTTAGTGGAGCTGGATAGGTCATTCTGTCAAGGATGACAACTGTGAGGAACTTCTAGGAATATTGTATACCTCAGTTCATACTTGATTTGGTGGGCAACTGGTGTTAATGAAAGTTTAGAGAGATTGTTAACTGAGAGTTATGCAAATGTAGGTAAATAAGCTTAGAGATTGTTAATTGAGGCTTAAGTATATGTTGGCAAATGAAGGTTGCAGAGTTTTTGAGTTTTTTTTTTAATGAACATGTGCTTTTTCTTTTAATTAAAATTTTTTTTTTTTCCTGGCTAAGAAGAGAGGCCTGAATTCCTACGTATTTCACACAGGCAAGTGCTTGTCTTTGGTCAGAGTGTGGTTAAACAAAGGAGTTCAAACTTAGCAAAACATAAAACGTTGAAAATACTGAGCACACACTCCATGGCCAGCAAAACGCATGCACCTAGTTAAGAGATGCCAGGTACTCACAGGTGACTCCTTTTCTTTTTGGCCACTCTCATATAATTAATGCGAAACTGAAGAGAAATGCCCGCTGATAGCCCATGTGGGTCATCTCCTTTCCTATTCACCACGACTGCTTTTCTTCTGAGAGTCCAGCCTCCATCCTGGGAGCTTAGCCTTGGGCGACCTTTAATGGCTCTCAAAGCCAGGGGTTCCCAGACTCCCTGCTGTGAGGACTTGGTTGGGGGGGGGGGGCTCAGAGCCACACCAACCTCTTACCCGTTTTCTTTTCAGCTTCAGAGCCCCCTCCTTCCCTACCTGCTCTGCCAGCTGCCACGGTGGAAAACCTGGACCCTCAAGGGTCCTGATAGGCCTGAGCGAGGCTACAGCTTCTGAATCACCCCGGGGCCCAGAAGCCCTGGTCGGCGAAACTCCAGGGTGAGGGGGCGCTGCCACAGTCCTCCTGTCCTCTCCCTCCTCCCTCCCCCAACCCCACCCCACCCCACCCCACCCGTCCCATGGTTCCATCATAAAGAAGCAAGGGCACAGGCACAGGGCCCGAAAATGGCACTCCATTTTCTCACAGGAACCAGAATCCAGAAGGTGAGGCGTCATCCAGTTAACCTGTGGCCCTCAGACCGCCCGAATCCCGGCCAGTCAGTGGAGGTGGCCACCCCGCCCCTGGCCTAGCCTGCGGGGTCAGCGCCCCAGAGCAGGCCGCGCGCCCCGCCAGCGCCGCCCCGCCTTTCCGCCCGCGGCGCAGTGGGCAGGGCCACGGTCACCCGGCGGCGGGAAGGGGCTCTGTCGCTTCGGGGTGTGGCCACCGCTACCCTGAGGCTGGGCTGCCCGCTGGGCCCGCGCCTCACCGCCGCCATCGCAGCCCCAGCCGCCGGAACAGGTGCGTTCTCCGCCCACCGGCTGTGCCCGCGGGTGGCCGGGCGGAGGCCCCGGCCTCTCCAGGCGGCTGGCGGAGGTCGGGGCGGGCCCCGGGGGTGGGGGAATGAACTTCCTAAATCGTTCATTTGTAGGAGCTGTTGACGGACGGGGCTGAGACAACGCCGGAAGACAGGTTTCCGTGCGAGGGAGGCTCCGGGCCCAGAAGTGGGGAAGCCTTGTGGGCTGCGGGACCCAGGGTGCTGCCTGCGCGGACCAGGCGCCCCCGCCATGGTGGCCTCCGCATCCCGCTCATCCCAGGGCCAGCCGCAGGCTGACCAGGGACTTCCCTCTCCCCGCATTTGGACAGATTCTTGGTTGCCCTGACCCTCCTGCGTGCTTTATCTGGCTTCCTGGAGGGTCTTTTGGCTTTTTACCTTGTACTTTGACTTTTGGTGTGCACGTTTAAGCCCCACTCAAGCAGACTCTGATTTACCTTGTACTTGGACTTTTGGGGTGCACGTTTAAGTCCCACTCAAGCAGACTCTGATTTACCTTGTACTTGGACTTTTGGGGTGCACGTTTAAGCCCTACTCACACTCTAAGCCCCACTCAAGCAGACTCTGATTTGCTATGTACTCAGTCTACAGTAAGCACTGGAATGATTGAATGGGTACCTATGAAGTTGAATAAGTGAATTAGTATATATGAAGTAGAGTTGAATGAAGGAATACACGAACAGATATAAACACACAATAAGTGGAGACACATGCTTACAATGCTTGTCTTCTAGTAGTTTCTTCAAAAGTTGTGTGACTCTTCCAGTATTGTAAATGGAATCAGTGTTGTGTCTGCTGAAAAGATGTTCTCTGCTGTTTTCAAAGGAAATAATCACCAGAATCACCCCACTGCCTCATATTTCCATTTTAGGTAGATTTTGATATATGTGTTGCTTAAAACAAAATATTTCTAGGTATTTTATTTTCTACTTTAGACTTTAGAGAATCACTTTCGCTGTAATATTATTTAATATATTTCTGAAAGATAAGGGAGAACTTAAAGATAGAACTGCATGACTCTACTTTTAGTAACTTGCTGGTAAAACAGGGATTGCTTCAATTCAGGATAATGAAGAATCTCTTCTGTTTATCTGAGATAGGTGCTGCCTGACTTTTGGGTGACTGAAGAAGGCTGGATATAGTCCAGAGAGAAAGAGAGAGAGATTTGTCTATGTGCAGACATTGTGGAAGTTACAGTTGAAGCTGCTTTAATAGATGGCCGCTGCATCAGTTGTAGATTTTCAGATCCCAGTTCCAGAAAAACTGGGTGACTTTGCACTTGTCACTTGATTTCCTTAGGTCTCAATTTCCTAAACTCTGAGATAAAGGAGGTTAGGTGTTACCCCTCCTAACTTACAATATTCTCTTTTATCAATGGTAGAAGATCAAATTGCAGGTGACTTTATGGAGTTCAGCTCATGTGAGCTGCTCTGCTTGGGATTCTGTAGAACTTGCCCCTACTTTCTTTGCAAATTGCACCTCATTCCTTTTCTTCTCCATAACTTCTGTGAAAGGACCTCAGAGCTCAAAATGAGAATAATAGACTGTGGGCTTGGTGGGGAGAAAGTAGGGCAAGATTTTATTCTGCATTGTCACAGGCTCCCAGTCCTGAGTCTAACTTGTTTCCAATGCAGCCCAGCTTGACAATACCATATATTTCTAGTATATCCAGGGAATTGTATCACTATTAATTTGCATGAATTTGAGATTAGTTATCATAGATCACATTATATCGGAGCTAGAAGGACCTTGGAGATTTTAAAAAGGCACTTAAAAAGTCATTTTATGTACATATTAAAATATTTTTTGCATGCTACATTTAACAAACACAAAGACCCAAATGTGTTAAGTGAAATAAAATTAATGTTACCTACTTCAGTTATCACCAGTCTGTTGGGAGAAGTGGAGCCAAAGGTGGTACATGCTGGGAAAAAACTGACTTTCTTGGACTCTTTTCCAAGGAGCCAGTTATGGGGTCATGTGTTGTTCATTTTTGAAGAACAAACCACTCCTTCACCTTTTTAGGGACATCACCCCCATCTTCACAGGGATGAGAGTTCAGGCACCAGAATGATTTCCAGCATGTCATGAATCTGACTTCCTCATTAGGAGGCTGGTGGGAACAAGGGGTAGAGTTAAGCAGCCATACTTGGCTTACAACTGAACATATGTGTGCTCCTGCTCTCGTACTTTTCTGGCTTCGACTTGTACCTGTTATCTCAGCTCAGATGGCACTGTTAGAAGGACAGGTCGATCAATTAGGACATATAGGCCAATTAATCCTCTCATTCTCTCTGTCTCTGTCCCTTTCTCCCTCTTCTCATTCCCCTTGTAAATAAACTTTTTTCTCTCTCCACATCTGCTTTTGGGTCTTGTCCAGAGTTCTTAAGCATGGGTGATGACTCATACCCAGGTCACCCTGCTTCCCCCTGGGCTGGTCCTGTAACATTCAGGCACAAAATATAACAAACCTGATATATATGGGGCACTGACTTTGTACCAAACACTGTTATGTTTACTCATTTACTTATTGTCCCATGTTACCCTCACTGTAAGTCTAAGAGCTCTTGTAATACCTATTCAATCTTCCTAATTATAAGCAATGCTTAGAAAATGGAAATCAGGTACTCATAACATGGGCAGATGAAGTTAGGTTTTCAGAAAAATAATCTTCACTAGGAAAGTCAGTAATATCAGAGAGTGTGGTATCTGTGTGTGTTCGTGTGTGTGTGTGTGTGTGTGTGTGTGTGTGTGTGTAGACACATACTTAGGGCATTGTGGATAAGTGCATTAAGATGGCAGCCTAGAGATGGGATGGTTAAGATTACTGAGAATTGGTTATATAATTTTGAAAAGTATTGAATTCTGTTGGGACTCTGATACTTTGACCTAGATGCATATGCCTCCTAATTTTACTCATGTTCATATTTACCTGTTCAGGGAGTATAAAATGGGTAGGATTACAGCTGTCATCCATGAGTGGCCCTTAAGGCCTTTGAAGTACGTTCCAAGCAATGTTGTTTCTTGGGCTAACTTCATGTCCTTGGTTACCTCCTTCTTTGTCTGATTGACAACTCCTAATGCAGACAAAGTCCACTGCCTCCATCACTGTAATTCAGGGACAAGAACACAAGATGAGTTTCTAGCACACTTATAATTAATTGACAAGAGCAAAGGAGGGAAAGAGAAGCCCATAAAATAAGTAGAAAATTATTTTGTTTCTTTGTCAGTCAAGTTTAGCTTCTTGGGAGGCAGAGACCAATTGCTGCTACCGGAAAAACTGAGAGCAGAACGCCAGTTTAAGTTAGGAGGCTGCAATTTTCTACCCTGAAGGCTGCTGCTATAGAATAGACCTTCCCATTTCTCACAATATTATGAAAAAAAACATTAAAGCAACAATTTTTATTACTTGCCCTGGAGCTAGAGCTTTAAAATGTACTTTCTTCTCCTCAACCCTCCCTAAACCACTTAGCTTTTAAAAACAAACATCCCATTTATATGTTTGCTACAGTCATATTATTAGTCCTTTTTCTTTATTCCTGGGTCCTGTTTCTTTAATACAGCTAAGTAGTATGACAGATGCTCTTCTAGGTCGCTGGCATTTCTTTAGATATTCAGCACTTATTAATTTCAGTAACCATTATTGAGTGTGTATTATGTGCTGATAAAGATGATTGAAATACTGAGTGTAAGTAGAAAAGTAACCCATTCACAAATAATTACACGATAGGGTGATGTGGAAGTAGTTAGCCACTCATTTTTCCAGGGAGGAAGTGTGGTTGGGGCTGAGGAAGACTTCATAGATCAGGTGAATTTTGAAGTGGATATTGAAACCTAAAGGCCAGGAAGTGGAGTGACAGCATTCCAAGCAGGGAGAATTACATGGGGAATTAAAATGGGATGAGAATGAGCACTACACTGCAGGGAGAGATGGGGGTGGTGGAGGTTTTGTGTGGTGGTAGAAGAATGGTCTTGTGAGGCTGAGGCCAGAGAATGCAGGTCCTTGAAGGCCATGTTGTTTAGAGTTTATCACAGCCTAGATAATATTTTTTAAGAGGTTTTTTTTTTTTTTTAAGCCAAATTTTTAAGCAGAGGAGGGCTATCATTGGATTTTTTTTAGAAAATAGCTCCAGAAATAATGTTTTTGAGGAACTGACCAGGGAAGAGTCAGGAGGCCAGAACAAATAAGAATGTTGTTGCTACAGTCCAAATGAAATAGAATAAGGATCTAGGCTATGTAGCTTTGAGAGATATTCGGAACACAGAGGAGAGGGTTTAATAGCTAGCTGGATATGGGAAATAAGGTTGAAAATTATTCTGAGGTTTTTTGAGTTGAGTGAGTGAACTGAGATGTCATTAACAAGGATAATAAATATAAGATAAGGGAAAGGTTTTGGGAGAAAGAAAGTGAATGAAATAAAGGTAACTGGAATGCCTAGGGAGGATCCCCAGGATGCAGCCTTGACTGCAGCTGTGCTATGATGTCATGCAGTAGACACCTGCCAGACTTCATGACAGGCCCTCAGTCTAAAGAGACAGCAATTTGACAAACCATGTTAAAAGGAGGAAACAATCATCTTAGATTTGATTAATAACCGTTACATCATATTTCGGGTGAGTTTCCTAAAAATTCTAATTCTTATGTGAGGTCCAGTGAAAGAAATAGATTGA